TAGCCATGGCTATAAAGTAAACTAAAATACCCGAGTGCAACAAGAGCTACCGTATGTATCGAGTCCATACGCCAACCACGACCAACATTCATGGGACGGATGCCCTCTTCGATAGTCGACTCAAAGGTTATGAACACCATTTTTATCTAGGATAGCTACACCACGAACATATACGTGAGTAATAACTTAGTAAGTTAACCTACGCATATAGTGCATGTGCATGTATAAAATACCGATATATACATAACAAATCCTTTTTTTCATGTCATAAAACATTTCATAAACGATCCGAAAATCTTTTTTCTATCTTTGGACATGTACTATTTAGGTACTTCGTGGTTTCCATAATATATGTTCGACGAACCAAACCCGTCTACGGATGCGCCCTACCGAGTCTCTAAAAGTGGACGTCCGAACTTGCCCGACTCCGAACCATTACCGTTACTATATGAAAAACCCATGAAGTTCTTTTCTCAAAACCTCAAAGTCATGAAAATCTTTTCCTTTAAAATCATTCCGATTGCTATCGGATAACCATGACATAAAATATATTTCCATGACTTAAAACATTATTCATGAGCTAAGCATGCATATGCAATTGCAATGAACCAAGCATGCTTGTATGAATTCATGAATGCTTTGAATGGTTATGTAAGTAAGTCATAAGAATCGATACAAAATTGGGCGACATGACAATATAGATAACATCAATCCAATATAAATCAACACCGCCATCATTGGCACTTCAATAATCATAACCCAATTCTCATCATCAATTACATTCAAGCATAACTATTATTTATAACCTAATGCATTCATATAGCATTTGAAAGAACATAACCATAACATAAAGGAAGATGAACATTTTTGTTCTATTTCTTTGTTCATTAAACTTACCTTTCACTTTACTTTCCTAAATTCTTTTTCTTAGGTTCTTAATTATCTTTCTATATTTGATCTTTATCAAATTAAGTATCATTTCATGTTCCAACCTAACTAGGTGTTATTTTATTGATTTAGGAGGTTCAATTTTGGTTTGGGCCTTAATGGGCCTAAGGCCCAATTTTTCCTAACCCAATTTTTCTTTAAAGTTTTACGAGCCCTTTTCACTATGAACCATCCTTTTACTGTGTTTGAGTCTGAATGATCAAATTTAAGGTTTAAAACGTGGTTTAAACCTAATTTTCCAAAATTTCCATTTAGGCCTAAACTTGACCTCTTTAAAATCCTAACATTTTCTCCTCATTTTGTCCCACCATTTCAACACTAAGTATCCTAGATATGTAAAAACTATAGGAATTAATTTAGTTAAAATTTGGGACCTGAAATCTTATCCAAACCCTTGTTGGGCCTTAATGGCCCGAAATTAGGTCCAAGCCCATAAAGCCCATTTTCTTCAACTTTTGAAGAATTTTTCACGTCAACTCACCAAAATATGCTTATTTAACTCTATATGACTCACCAAAATAGAATAGGATTGCTTGGAATTCCAATTTTAGATTTCTTTAGTTTAAGCCGAATGGTTACCCTTAATTAATCTTAGGAATTTTTGAGTTTTCACTAAACTTTTCAAGCCTAATTAACTTGTTTCCATCTTAATTACATGAATTATGGGTTCAAAATCATTTTCCCCAAATTTGGGTCACCAAGAACCCTAACCTTAATTTTTCTCTAATTTAGCAATTAAGGTAAATTCAAGTAATTAAACATGAAATTAACTTGAAATTAAATATTTTTATGGTGTAGGTAAGATTAACTTACTTGATTAAGCTCCAAATTAACCTTGAAAAGGTAGGTTGCTTGAAAATTCTCTTCCTCCCCTTTCTCCCCCTAAATTTGAATTAGCTCTTTTAATTTTCTCCTTGAAGGTATTCAGCTCCCAACTTGAAATTGAAGCTTAATCCACTGATTTGGAGGGTCTAAAATTGGTTAGAATTATTTTTGGTAGTTTTTTAGTATAAAATTTGCAAGATTTTTCTTTGTATTTTTAAATTTTTCTTCCCTTTTTAATTTTTCCAGCACCTCTATTTATAAGAAAATTTTTTGAATTTGTTGAGCTCATCTCCACCCTTAATTTGGATAAATCTTAGCCCTTAATTCAATTTCCAATCAATTCTTTTCATTTGGCTAAAATTTTGGCCATTTGTTCTTCTTTTTGTTTAAGCATTCCATTTAGCTTAATTCCAGTCATAAAATTTACTCGTAAGTCAAACTTAATTAAAGCTTTTAGTCGACCAAAGTTGGGAGGAAAATAACAAATTTGGTCCTCTAAGTTTCTAGAGTTTCTAGGGCTTATTCTTTTCTAAATCCTCTTTTATTCAAATAATCATTTCTAGCCCTTTATTTTCAGAATTTAGTACTGAATTTTGCCCCTTAATATTCCTAAATAATTTAATTTAGATTATTAGACTCTAAATTTTAAGCAATCGAGTCCCTAATTTTATACATTTTGGTCCCTACTTTTGAAGTTCCATCCTATGCTCTTCAAAAATCCAATTTCTTTCCATAATCAATTCAAATATTTATTAAGGGAGTTTATTTAAAATTTTCATAATTTTTGAACCTGATTTGAGCCTCTAAATTAATTATTTAGGGTGAAAATTATACTATTTCATATTAAAAATATTCCCCATACTTAATAAAATTAATTTAAATTTTATAGGCACTCTCACACATCCCATATGATTATTATATGCTCTAAAATAAAAATTCCTCATACACTTAAAGTGCCTAAGTAAATTCTTTACCTCTAAAAACACTATTCCAACACATAAAAATTCAAATAAAATATTCCTAGCACATAAAAAATTCACACAAGCACATAAAATAATTCAACACCCCTCTAACAATTAATCTAAGCACATAAACTATTTTTTATTCATAAACAACATGCTTCACTTAATTATTCATGTAAAAATTATTATTCATACATCGTAAAATTAATAAAAATATCTCTTAGGCATAGAAAAACTATTTTAACTATTATATATATTCGTTGAAGTTCCTAAGGATTATTTCACATTCTTAAAATATGTTTCCCTCATGTTTAATATTAATTTTTCTTTTTTTAATTTTAGTTTCGGTAAGTACTCGGTTATTACGGTTTGTGTCTTAGGTTGATTTAGGTCTCGTATAGGTTAAGTTTTATTTCAATTGTACCATTTAGATGTATCATTATAGTCCTTGTACTTTTGATTTTTTCTATTGGGTCCATGAGCCTTGTAATTTCAGTCGAAGGATTTTCAATTGTTTCAATTATACCCCAATTGCTTTAATCTCAATTCTATTTTATTCAATTATGCCCATAATGTATATATATATATATATATATATATATATATATAATTATTTATATATATATATAATAGATTCCAAAATAAAATGAAAATTCAAATACAAATAGAAATATAAAACAAATAAAGCAAGCAAATAAATAAAAAGGGTAATAAAATCTTAATCTAATGAAAATCAAAATAGAAAGGGATAAAGGGGGGGGAATTGGGTTATGACATAGGTATTGCACGCAAATAATGACGTTATATTTATTATTGTTATTATTTTTCTTTTTAAAAAATATATTATAAACTATTTTAGATGTTATCCAAATGAAATTCTACATCTTAAAATTATAATATATTTTCTTATTTTTTATGTCATATTAAACTATTAAAAAAGTTATTAATAATGAAAAATAATAATAATGGTAAAAAATTGTTATGATAATAGTAAAAGAAAATTCTCTCAATCTCTATAAAATATTTCAATACAATCTAATGAAAATCAAGCCTATTTATAGGCTTCAAAATTAGAAAGAGAGTTGGAATGGACTATGAACAATTAAAAGATATATAAATAGTTGAATCAAATGTATCTCCCTTTCAATTTCTCTTATTGAATGATGAATTAAATCACATTACAAATTAAGAGTAATAGGGATGTGAAAAAAATATGAATATTTATATGGATATTTATTATTTCATAACATTCCTCCTTGAATGTCCATGTATTGTATAAGAAACATACCTTGTTAAAATTTAATTAAGAAAAAATTTGATGAAAAAGATCTTAATGAAGGAAAAAAAGTACAATATGTTTTGTACACGTCACTATCAAAAAACCATCAATTAGCAACATATCAACTTTTTTTGTGAAACCATTGCTAAATCCTCCCTAAAAATGGATGGAATCTACAACCGTTTAACTAGACCATCGCTAAATTCTCCTAAAAATGAGTTTTTAGCAATAGTTTCTATCAAACTATCACTAACAACCTCAAATTTTTTGGAGGAATTTAGCAACGATCCGCTTGAATCGTCGATAATCCTCCAAAAAATGGTTTTTTTAGTGACGGTTTCACAAAAAATCAACCCTAACTTCGGTCATTTTGTGAGTTTTTTTGAATTTGCAAGTTATTAAAAATGATTTTCAAAACCATCACTAAAACCCACATCGGTAATGAAATTAGCTACGGTTTACTCGGATCGTCACTAATTCTTGATTTTTAGCGATGGTTTCTAAACCATGGCTAATAAACGGTGGTTATTCCTCTGTTTTCTTGTATTGATATAAGACTACAGAGATGCACATGTGCTTGCTTATATTATTGAGGAATCGGCTAGCGTCTCTAACCTATGAGTGAAAACATTGATCGAAGTGGAAACGGCCTACGAGTATGTGTCTGCGTGTGAGAGAGATCAGATCTATATATACTCTGAAAATTGGTATTAATGGAGGTTAGGTTTTGAATTCTGAAGCTCGTAATAACTTGGACAAAATCACATAAGGAAGTGACTTAGAGAAAATTACATAAAGAAGTGAGATATATTTAAAATGATACAATATTGTCCGAGCTTCCGCTCATAATACACACTTTGCAGAAATACTACAAAGCTTGCTACAATGATCGACCATCATCCCTATATAGACATATAGAAAAAAACACACCTTTGAGACCTTACATCCCTCACATCATATATAAAACTAAATTGCTAAAATAGCAATCAAGGGATACCAATGATGGGAACGAAAGGAACATAGTAGCTAGATGGTGCAAGGCCCCACTCCCTTGGTAGTGGCAGGTCGACTGTTTTGGATGAGCCAATTTCATTAGAGACTCCACATTTTGCACCTTCTGCAGAACATGTAGTGGAGAAAGCAAGAGGAGTGGAGATGGTGTATGAGTTAGAATCATGGTTTTGAACAATCTTGGACACCATGTATTCTCTTGAGACAAAGAGCTGGCTCGGACCACCAAGCAGCTTGGCTAGGCAATTCCGAGGAGATGCAGTTGCTGAGTTGCCTGGAGGAAGGTTAACTTCAAAGGAACCGTCGCTTTGTGTGGTTGTTGCAGCCAACTTTCTTACTTTGTCACACTCCACTCCGACCTTAATCTCTGAAAAATAATACAAGAAGGAAATCAAATTAGAAACATGAGTCTTAAAGAACATGAAAACGTTAGGGTTGGGACAAACCTGAGAAGTCATATTGGCCACTGCAGTCAAGGCAAGACACTTTGCCTTTAAAAACTTGGCATGTTGAAAGCTGAATCCCTGAGAGAGCCAATGCAAAGAGCAGTACTGAAGTAACTGGATGAAACGCCATTGAAGAGAAGTTATTTGACAAGAGAGTGTGAATATTGCAGCCTATAAATAAACTGAGGTCCGTGCAGAGGAAACCGTATTCAATGAATGGCCCCCAAGCCAAAGTAAGTAGTTGTTAATTAATTGTAGAATTTATTTCACTTCCCTACTTCTTGTGAAAACTTGCCATGAAAAGTCAAAAGATTCTTGGATCTTACATTATCTGATGGAAGAAGCAAGATCTGACATTAATTTAAAGCATCAAAGAAAACAGAAGTTCTGAAAATATAATATTGAAAAACTGTTGTTAAGTGGACATGTTCTATAGTTTACAAATAATCATTATGGATTTTGTCAGTATAGTCTTTCATAATATCAGTGTGGTTTATTGTAACATTTGATCCAATAATTTCCCAATTGCAATACCTTTACAAGGCTTCAATTCGATCGGTCTGATTGTCTGATTTCATATCTACATTCGAGAATTTGTTTTTTGATTCAAATTGTAAGAAAAAGATTTATTCAACTTGACGTTTTTAAGTTTGGATTTTGTCATTAGCTTCTTAAAATGATAGCATATCTACATGCTATTTGTGGAAGTATCATAAGCTTTATCTCTAATATAATCACGATAGTATCCCTACAAATATATGTGTGTTAGAAAAACTTAATGTCTCGTGTTAGGTGTACAATCGATTATTTGTATACCCATTTTTTCTTGTTATAAATAACAATAATAATAATAATTTCCTTGCACGGTAATAGCTAAAAGAAATAAAGCATATTGTTAGACCCAAAATGTTTCCAGGCATATCGTAATTAGTTCAATTTAGTTTGTTTATAGCATAAAATATCAAAAAATTTATTAGGATTAGTAGTAATTTATTTGATAAAATTAATTTGGTTCATCTATCTATACAATTGAGATATTGATTGTCTGATAAAACATTTTTCAATAATCGTTTGTACTTTTTTGTTACAATTTTTTTTTTAATTGAGGCCACAACAATAAAATCTGCAATACATATAAAGCAAAATTAAAAAAAGATCAGTGGTGCTGCTATCTCCCAACAAGAGCTTAGATATATAATGCATTGATATTAGATATATAATGCATTGATACATGATTGATAGACGAAATATGCACTATGGATCCAAGCTAGCTACTTTGTATATTCCAATGCTGTTGGATACAAATTTTTCAGGAATAATATATTTTTGGTATATAGAGGTGTTGCAAGTTTTTTTGTGCCGATCTCAAATAAGAGACCTTTGTAATAAAAGAATATAAATCATAATTAGAAAGCTTTTTGTAAGGCAATCAATCTCTCAATCATGTAGATAAATAAACCAAATTAACTTTTCCACATAAACTATTACTAATCTTAATGATGTTTTTAGTGTTTTATGTTATAAACAAACTAAATTAAACTAGCTGCAATAGGCTTGAAGATTCTTGATAGAAAATCATGATCCTCCAAATTGGTTGCTTGAAGATTCTTGATAGAAAATCATGATCCTCCAAATTGGTTGCGTTGTAGGATTGTAAGGACAATAATCTGAAATATAAGACTATTCAAAGTAAAAATTGAGCTTTCATTCTAATATGTGATCAAATCAATAGAATTAACTAATTAAAATACTAAGAACTACATGCTATAATATGAATGAAAGTTTAGTAATTATAAACTTGAAGGTTTTATAACACAGTATTACAATCATTGCAAAGCTGAAAATAATAAACCTACAATAACAAAAACTTAGTAGCATTCTCAAGTTGACACTTGAGACAAGATAAATCTTGAAAGAATTGAAAATGGTGATTGGAGAATTAAAAATCAACTATCAGCCTATAGATTATCACCTATTGGATTAAAACCTACAAATTATCGCTTATAAATTGCTTCCTATTAGCTATTGTTTAACGAGTTTTAAGTATGAAACTTATGAAAGTACTCACTGAGCTATTTATAATTTACAAAAGTTTGTTTATATGTTGTATGGATGTGTGTTGATTCTCCTATTGCAGTCGGTATTGATAAGGTTTTTGCTTCTTCATACTCTCTAATAGTGAAACACTCTATTTCACACATGCTATAGTGTTTCATGTTTTTTTTCCTTGCACTGCAATGCATCCATGTTCTTTTTTTTTTTTTTTTTTTCTTTTTGCGCTGCAATGCATCATGTTTTTAATCTTGCTCTATTACTTTTGCGCTGCAATCTCTTACATTCTTTTTAACTGTTTCGATCATGCTCTTTTTGCAATTAGAATTATGTTATTTTTTAACTACATATACATCACTTGTTGCTGATTATTTTTATCCTAAAATAGGACTTTTCACACATCTTTTTCTAGTTTTGCCTCCTTGAGAGTTTTTCTTCCATGTATTTCTTCTTGGCTTATTGAAAGAATTTCAGCAGTCTTCTTTCGGCTGATTTATTGGCACAGACATGTTTGTCGGGCTTAGTAAGTTAGGGACCATCTTTTCTTAATAGAAAACACATAATATGCTTTTAAGTGAAACCAATTAAGAAGAAGATTAAGAACTTATTGAAGAATTAGATGAATTTTATCTATTTTTTCTATTTAAATTATTATGTTCAGATCTAGAATAAATTTGGGTATACTAAGAGGTAAAGCTGAGAGTTTTCTTAACTAAAAATGTCAAGGATTTGATTTTTATTTTATTTTATTTTTGAAATTATATCTTGATTCAATCGGTTTATAAGCTATGAGCTGCTATTTGTACAATAAAAGCCAGGACATTAAAAAAAAAAAAAATCCACGAAAGATATACATTTATTAACCTTCCCCTGCAAAACAATGGTGTAGTTACTCACTGAGATGTTGACGGATAGAGATTTAATAGCTTCCTGACCCCAGCTCCCTACCATAACGTACGACTCCCTGGAAGCTTTTAAAGCATAGGGAGGCTACCACGGCAGTCTTGGATGGCTCAGTGCTCCTTCCCGACACCGGTTCATCGTACGGGTAAAGAAACATTATTTCTTCTTGGTCCCATCATATTTTGACATGAATTATACAAAGGAGAGAATTCACCTCCAGATCAATTATATATATTCGTGCATATGATCCCTTGAAAAATTGCTTAAAAACCCCAACAATTTAGCAGGATGATTCTTTAACGAGTGATTCATATTGCAACAGTACACACACACACAAAACAAATTAAATAGTCTTTTAATTTTTAAAAATTTATTTATTTGGTCCATTTCACATATTCTTTTCCAATTTTTGTTTTATTTAAATAGATAGGTATTATGGAAAAAATAATGAAAAAAGTATTTGAAAAAATAATATTAAATTAAGTATAATTAATACTAGTTAAAAAAACTAATTAATTAATTTTCAAAACTAAAAAGATTATTTAATTCATTTTGCAAAACTAAAAAAACTAATATATAATTTACTGGACAACAATGTCATTTTAGTTAGCAAGTCATGAAGGGGTTAGTTAAAACGCTAATAATTCTAGCATTATTCTTTTTCAATATTACAGTAACAGAACTATACCCAAGTAAGTTGTCAAGTAACTAAGAATTTAAGGGGAATGAATCAGGTAATTCAACTGAGTTATTGGCCTATTTTATCGACATAGTTTGAATTATTAATTTTTTTCTAATTTAAATCCTTGAACTATATAGCTTTTGATGGACATCGTGTTATCATATTCCATCCTTTTTCCATTAACTAACATGTGAGTTTTTCTTATAAAATGTCAAATGATTCATAAAAATTTATTGAGAAATAATTAAGAAATCAACCTTCATCAATGAACCTTATGATAGAAATATCATTAATAGTATATCATAAAAATATAAAAAAAGAAATCGAATTTTGACATTTTTGAAAAAACATATGACTTTTTTGTCATATTTAACAATAAAAAAATAGATAAACTCTAATAGCTGGATTGTTAACAATGCTTCCTTTCGTGTGATTTATTAGTTTGATCTACTTATAAGTAATGCTTGAGATTTTATTTTTCGAAAAACAAAATCATAATACTAGCATTACTCTGCTCCTATCCAAGATTCAATGGGTGAAAAATGAATTGTGGCTTTTCTTGGCGATATTTGGATAAGGAAAAAAAATTGAACCGAAGTAAAAATATTTTTATTATTTTTAAAGAATCGGATGTAGTTCTTCCGTTTTTTTTTTTTTTCCATATAATAACTGTTGTAGTTATACAATAGCTACAATTTCCATATTTGGATAGCACATAAACAGAATACTCTCCTTGTATTCCTCTTCTATTTCGGTGCTATGTGTTGGCGAGGAAAACAGTGACGTGCACCTAACTTAAGATGCTCATAATGAATAAAGAGAAACATACCCTTGGCCCAAAACTCCTTGCCTCTTTGTATCTATCCAATAGGGACTCGTGTCTATTATCACAAGAAAACGAATTAAATCATTATTTATCTGCTTTTATTCTTCACAACAAAACAATAGAAAGTACTCCCTCTTATTCGCAACTTTAATGTTTGATGTCCTTCACGATTAGGTTCATGTATATTTCGCCAATTTGGAAGAGACTAACAGCTTTGTTTGATCGCTTTTCTTGTTGCAAGAGAGATTGAAAAAAAAAACAAGTAGTTTCCTTTCTGAAGTACATGGATGGTAGCATCAAACTAGTTTTTATATCAAAATTCTCATCATAAGAATTACAATTGAAATTTTTCCATTCAGATTTGATTCTATTTAAAATACTTAAGTTTGCAACGAATGATATTTTTTTATCTTTGTATATTATTCGTATATTATATATTCAATGTGAGAATGTTTTTTAACGTACCTCCTAACTCATTTATTATTTATATATTAAATGAAGATAAATTTTCTAACCTATCAAGTAATTTGAATTTCAAAAAATAAAAATAAACTTAAATATAATATTAAATTAGATAATTGAGATTTAATTTTATAAAAAAAAATCTTAAATCTTGAATCTTGTGATAAATGATCTATTCAATATATATATATATTGGTCTTCGCAA